GTCTGTCTGTCTGTCTGTCTGTCTGTCTGTCTGTCTGTCTGTCTGTCTGTCTGTCCATTTAAGTTAACTTGGAACATAAGTGGAAGCTCCTTTTCTGAGAGTGTAAACAAAAAGTCCTTTTGAAACTACACGTTTATAAATGGTCGCTTTTAAGGACAAGCGGGCTAACCCAGATTTCGGGGGTTTCCAGAAATCTTGACCTACACCAAAAGTGGGCATTGCCCTACCTAAAGGAGAAGTTTGGTTTCATTGGTGTATATATTTGTTTGGTTTTAGAGAAAACTCGCTTTGTCTTTTTAAGAAACTGAACAAGGGGCAAAAACTTTACTTTCGATTTGCTCAAAAAGCATTTTTCGGGATAGCCCCCTTTTGCTCAAAAGCGACCAATTCATAATAATAATGCTTTAATTATTTTCTTATAAACACAAAATAAGTTAATAAAAACAAAACATTTTCTAAGTCATTTTAGTTTTGACAGTTCAGTAAGATGTACAGTATACCTTTTACTCTAGTTAAGTACGGAAGAAATAGTTTTTGTTTCTGTCATTTATCCCATTTGTCCCTCTAGGATAAGCTAGTGACTGTTTTAGTCATGTACGATTCATGTGTTCATGGAAAATTTGTATTAGTTTTGTTGTTGTTGTTGTTGTTAATTTTTTATAGCTTCATGCAGTTTTTCTTAATAGTATTTCAATATTTTGTTGGCTTTTTTTTTCCTGTATTGCCTGTTGTGAATATCTCCGGCAAATCACGGTTCTCCCCCCACCCCTCACCAAAAAAAAAAGTTTTTACAAATATTAATAACAGTGATATGATGCTGATGAGAAGGAGAAGAAGAAGAAGAAGAAGAAGAAGAAGAAGAAGAAGAAGAAGAAGAAGAAGAAGAAGAAGAAGAAGAAGAAGAAGAAGAAGAAAAAATACCCCAGCATCACATACACCACCACCATCATCAACAACAACAACAGCAATTATAATAACAATAAATAACATTTGTATAGCGCACATCCCCGCTCGACAGCACTATATTATTATTACCCCCAGCAGACCATAGAACACCCAGCAATATTCTCAGCTTCCCGGGGAGCATACAGTGCAAGTAGCTGATTAAGCGCTCAAACACTAACAGACTGACAAGATATTTCACTGTCTATAGCAGGCCTACCCATTCCCACCTGGATGAAGTGAGAAAAATTGCACGTAAAGTCCTTTTCCCCAAGGACACACGTCGGGCCCCTGAAGGAATTCGAACCCACTACCTTACGGTTGCGAGTCCGAGAGCTTATACCACTAAGCCACCGACGCCATAATATACAGGACCTATAATATGTACAGAGAGAGAGA